TGCTGTGCCAAGTTCTCCTTTTACCTACCTTTGTTTTATTGTCAGGAATTGGTTATTATCGTACTGTGCTTCGTTAACAGTGTCACCTTACTTGAAGACGTTGTCGATGGTGGCCAGTACCAAACTATTGCATCTGTTGGAAGCATTCAGTACTCCATGGTTCCTGTTCTCATCTCCTACAAACCACCATCTGGTTTTCTTCCTGCTAGAAATCTTCAACAACATTATTCAGTATCAGTTTGATGGTAAGCAATTGTATTCTGCATGCGATTCTTCTGAACAGGATATTATAGAGAAAGAAATGTTCCAACATTTTAAAGTCTTTGACATGCATTTTGTATTCGTCTTGTTTAAATTTGTGGTAATAAAACTTTTTGTTATAAAATTGAACGTAAGACACATTAAATTTCCTCGGTATATATTTAGGTGGATGGCTCAGTTATTAGAGGGATTAAGGCTATTTTCTGGACAACCTGGCTACGGCACAGGACTCTTCACGTTGTATGAGAAAGTCACGTGTCACTGACTCGAGCCATTTTCATAACTATAGCTATATTCAACGATTCATTTCCAGGGAACTCAAATTTGGTATACACAATCATTCGCAAGCGACAAGTGTTCCATTCATTAGCAAACCTTCCATGTGACTATGGAACTATTGCTAAGTCCCTAACTAAACGTACGAGACGTCATCTACCCAGCGCCACATCCACAGAAAATATAGGAGAGTTGCCAAGCATGGAAGGTTCTCGTCCAGCTTTGCCAGCAGAACCTGGCACTTTGAAAGCTACACTTCCAGACACTCCAGGTATAAAGTTTTGTACGTAAACTGTTTTGAGTAATGGTACTGTAGAACGGATACATATTTAATTAAAACTATTGTGGGTTCAGTGATTATATGAAATGAACTTAATTATTTGCTGTTTGATTGCAGAGACAGTTTTCACCTTGGCAAACAAACTTGACTATTGCAGTGGAACTGATTGTCGTTCTCCATTGTGAAGGTGCATCCTAATTCTGCTTTGTGAGAACCCAGAATTATCATTGTTTTAGGTTTAGTTTACAAGGTTCAGGTTGATATGTGTGATACTGTACGTAGCTGCTGCTGCTGCTGCGGGGAATGGTGTTTGGTTCTTATAATTCCAAATATACTATTTTGAAACTTAAAAAAAAAGTGTGATTTCTTTCCAGGCATTGAAAAAATGACTGAGAAGGAATCGGCTCATCCTTCGGTTAATCAGCTCTGTGAGCTAACAGCGGCTGCGACAGTGAATGGTGTGAATTCCAACAGTTCATCTCTTCTGCAACAGTCGTCTGTGCAGGAATTAACACACAACTCCAGTGAGGACCATGTAAGGAAAGGTGATGGCGAAGAGTTGCCCAGGTCAAAGAGTATGGTAAGCATGGTTATGCTGCATTTTGCGTGTGTGTGTGCGAGGCAGGTAGGTCATGTTTCAAGGTTTTAGTGAGGTAACCGCGAACATACATACAAATATATGTTCTTAGTATGCCTCCTGTCAATGTTCAGGAAGAGTAAATCAACTTTAAATAAAAATCACTTCACCGATTAATTGAAGTTAATGTATATAATAAGACGTTATCGTATTATGTGTTTTTGTATTGAAGTTTTAGTTCAAAGAAATTATCTATCACTATGGTCTCTGCCACAGCACTGGTGATTTTTTTTTTCCTGTCCCACTATACGCCATGCAGGCGCTTGGGGGGAGTTGAGGTATAGCTCCTACTCTTTCTTGACCTCGGCACTAGATGGGGTTGAGTGGTCAGCATCACGCCCCAGCATCGCTTTACCCCCGGGAAAGACCCCGGTACGCATTGGACAGGAGGCTGGGTGGGCCCCAGAGCCGGTCTGGACGCAGAGGCTAGAGGAAAAATCCTCTGCCTCCATCGGGGATCGAACCCCGGTCGTCCAGCCCGTAGCTAGTCAATATACTGACTGAGCTACGCTGCCCCTTCATAACTGGTGATGGTCATAATAAGATGACGTAATCAGACTATGTGCACTATGATTTGAGGTTTTTACCTACATTACAATGTTAACTAACTTTGTACTGTGTCTTAATAATAAACTTCTACAGACCCTAAAAATGCGAAGCTACGTTGGCGCTCGGTGAATTAGCAAATCTAGTGTAGGTGTTACAAACAACCACTGTTGGCTTCGTGGCAAAGTTGACCTGTGAGCGACCGGCTGACAAGTGGCCACCAAAGTTGCTACTGTGTATACATATTTTTGGGGCATTCTGTGTATTGCATAGTGCAGATTATTTATCTGAATGCTCAAAGGGGTTGGCATAATTTATGTTTTAAACATTCTTTCTTTCAGCCTAACACAAGTCCAGAGTCTCCGACACCATCAATCCATTCAACAAACAATTCACACTCGTCTAACGCAAGTGGACGTAAGACTTCGGAGTCTTCAGTTGTCAGTCTGCAGAGATCTGTAGCACAGGTAGTGCAACATTTGACATACTGTAGTTCCAGCTGATTCATAATATTATGCATAGATTTCTGCAGTCCGAGCATATTGGTCATGTAAGGGTGTGTTATCTTCTTCTTCCATGGCTCTCCGGTCCGTATTCGGTCCATGGCCTCCTCAATTCTCCTCTTCCGTTTGGTCCGTCTGTCTGAGGCTTTGATCGAGGTTTCGAAACGTCTTCCTTTTTACGGTGCAAGGTTGTTAGCCTTGTGACCAACCCCCAACCTGGAGGACCAGGGTACCTCTCCCCCTCGACCAATCTGGCTAGGGAGGCCCTGCCAGTAGCTCTTGGGGTCACTGAGGTACTCAAGCCCCACGACCACGACAAGGTGCAGGTACCATTAAGTGGGGAAAAGAATATAACTGTCGAACATTAAGGGAGAAGCTTAGAATGAGCATGAACGTGATTTGTCGTAAATATGATTAAGGGGTCGTTCCAGAGTGAGAAAAATATTTAATGTGAAGATGAATTTTCAGTCGGCAATCAGGGTTGCAAATTAGAATTGGTAGACAGATTGCAACATTATCCCCTCATTTCCTTTATGAACTTGTAGGAATTGGAAGGAAGATAAGAATAGTGGAGGAAAGTGAAACAGCAAGTTCTGATGTTGGTAGCGAGAGAAGACGTAGTATCAGAAAAGCTACATTAATTGTTCCAAAACTGCCATTGGGCCGTGTATTCTATTGCAGTGTTTCGGTCAGTGGTGTAAAAAACTTGCATGTGGGATGAAAAGTATGTTATGAATAGTTACAAAAATGTGTTCAGTAAGAAATTGGACTCAGACTCCTTAATTAAAAAATGGGTTCTGAAGGGATTGAGATGTTGGGAACGAACAGTTGGTGTTGTGGAGAACGTTTACTGAACGCGTGATCTAATTAAAGTAATTTCTCAGATCTGCAGATAGCTTCTGTCAAACATTGATATTAAATTTCCACTAAATTCTTTTGTTTCTACCGAATATTTCTGTTAAATTTCCACGAAATTCTAAGTATTTTTCAGACATATTATGTACCGTAAATCATACTTCGCTGTTCGTAAAGTGGCCACCTAACAGTTGAAGAATAGCCACGATTTTAGTTTAATCCATGAATGCTTCTCATATTTCAGACTTCTTTTTGCCACAATAAAAACAACAAACAAAGTGACATGATATTATACATTTGTTGCATTGATTCAGAGTGTTGTAAAATAAACATTACCTTTACATTTATTTGTGTGTAGTGTAGAATTGTATAATTATCGAGCAATTTTTTTCAAATTTGTGTGTAAGTGAATGTGCCCCATCTCTTCCCTTCCATTCTAATGGAATGCAGCAGTAGAATTATTTTGCATGAATAGTTCTTGATAGTTAATTGAAGTAAACTTTGGTATTTAAGACAGTTGTGTCCTGCTGTTGTCTCCGTTTTGTTAATAAAATGTGTTTGGTATTTGCATGAAGTGGATGAGGTGAAAAGTTTATATTTCCCAAACGAGATCTTCGCAATTTTACGTACCACATCGAACTTTATATCCGTATATTACGAATGCAAAATATGGTTCACGGTTAATGAATGGCGTCCTTTTATAGTTTCTTGACATGTGTTTTGTTAAATATAGACTTTTAAGTATTGTAGGAGTAGGAGAATGGTATTCCGCATATTTTAATGATATCGGTAATTAAAGAAAGACGGATTTAGTACAGTTATGTTTGTATGACAGTCCCAGAAACAAATGTTGCATGAGGTGTGTGCGCTATACTGTTGTCTCAAAATTAAAATTAAAATGTTCTCTTTACTCGTGTCAAGAACTTCTATACTTTCCATATATTGTAGTGTTTTCCAGTTTTTGAAACAAGTTCTTCCCCATCAAGCGAGAAAAATCCATTTTATGTTATTTTTATGTTTTTGTAAAAACAATTTAAGTCATATATGTAATACGTGCCATAAAGTCAATTTGGAAATGTTAATCGAGATATCAGTCACCAGGCACGTGTAGAGGCTTTCCGTGTCGTATGTTATAGCCAGGCTCTGTTGCTGCCAAGAAAAGAACCGTTGTCCGTAAGAATATGGTTCTGTGGTTTTCCTTCACCTAGGATTGTAACTATGCTTCTAATCATAAGATGTACTTGCATGTGCGCGCACACGCCATCTATCGCTATCTCTCTCAGCTATGTCGAAGATGAACTTTGTTTCTTTGCATTTCTATTCATGTACGTAGAAGATTTAAATTGTTGAGATGAAAAATTTCATGATACAAAAGAGAATTGATTTTTAGTTGTCACACTGCAAGATTTGCATCAGTAATAAATGAACATCGTATCCAGTGAGGTATGTAAAATCGCAAAAAAAAAAAGTGTTGTTGTCAGACAGACTTTTTGATTATGTATGTGTATGACCCGTAATTTATACATAATATTCCTGAATTTCTTGAAACTTAATTTGGTAATTCTAACATAATTAATCTTTTTTAGTGTTTAATTTTTTTTTTTAGATAGACAAATTGAGAGTAAAGTGAGCATGAATGGTATAAAAAGTATCTTACCGTGTCGGTGTGCCTGTGTGCTTTTTAACGTGTTTTCCCTTTAAACTTGTTTTAATTTTCTTTACACATGACTGTATTTTCTTTTGAGTTTTCCAGTCTTATGTTTTGTTCTGCATCGCATTGCATAGCCTTGTTGCTTCCGTAGCGTCAGAGTATTCGGCTGACGGAAGCCCATTCTCTCGCTCAGGGGAGTGGTATCGGACCCCCTATCGGAATGGGAGCCGGAGGACTGTGGGTACCGACTTCAGAGTGGGTCGGTTCTTGGAAGACAAAACTACCATTGCAGACAATCATGAGGCTTTTACAAGTGCTTGTACCACAGGTGGAGAAAATATGTATCGACAAGTGAGTATTAAAAAATCAGACTGTTTTAAATGTTAATGAATGCAGAGGCAATGGAAGTTTATATGTGCATCATTAATATGATTAACAATTGGAAAAAGGAAGCATATTACTTTCATACACTGTGAACGTAATATGAAATTTGAGGTTCTTATGGCAGTGAAAATGCCAGTGTCGGTCTTCTGTCCTCCTGACTTGTTTTACCTATTGCTTATGTAAGAAGATTCTTAACATCTGACATTTTAAATGTCATATTTCTTCCGCCCTCGTAATTTGTGCCAAATTAACTCAGTTGGGTCAAGTTTGCATTGGCATGGTGGGTCCCGGGTTCGATTCCCGGCAGTGCCCGAATTTATAACTTGTGTTGGGCAAGGCCGTGGTCTAGGCAACACGGAGTTTTCCTCCGGGGGCTTCCCCGGTTTCTCCGTGGCATCCCAACAATTACTACATTCACACACAGAAGAAGGCAATGGCAAACCACTTCGGGATCATCTGCCAAGAACGTATATGAAAAGGTCCCAGTCCGAAACAACTTTTCTTCTCATTACATATTATCAGAATAATCCAAGCTTTTCGTGTCTTTCATTTTTAAGTGACTTGCTTTATACTCGTGTATTACTTTGTGAACAGAAGCTACGTTTACTCCTGGAGAATAAGCTGTTATTTTCATTTAAATTTCTGTAATTAATACTGTGGAATGTAATTAAAACTCCACCATATATGTTTTAAGAATCATTTCCCGTTTTAGCTACTTAAAGACGTTCTTTTAAATCATTTCTTGGATAGACTAACAATATTTTTGTTGTTTTCTGCAGAATCAGTTTTACTTGACAATTTGCTATTTAATAGCCACAAATAAGCACTTGGTAACAAGCAAAGCGCTAAAAACAATTGAAAAGTTTTACGTGCAACGAATGTGAATACAGAAGCACAGTAACTGTGCTGTTCACTTCTGCTGTATTAATGTTACTGACGTGGAACGTGTTTGGTGAAGATGGAGGAAACGCAACCCGGGGCTCGTAATGATCACGAACTTTCCTGTGTTTATGTCCGTTGTCTCGTTAATGGCGACTGTTGTACGGAACTAAGATTCACACTTGTTCTTACTGCTCACCAGGCTGTTTTAAGAGATTATAATCAGAAAATTTAAAAAAAAGATTTAATCGCTGCTTTACTTTATAGGGGCCTGACAGATGAGAGTGAGATTCTCAAGTTTCTGCAGCACGGAACATTGGTGGGACTGTTGCCCGTTCCCCATCCCATTCTGATCCGAAAGTACCAGGCAAACTCTGGGACCACAACGTGGTTCCGTACGTACATGTGGGGTGTCATCTATCTCAGGTAAGTATCGTTTGTATGCTAAAGTGGAAGAAGGACGTGTTATGTGGGTGTAATAAAATTATATCGGATACTTAAAGGAGTATCTTAGGAAAAAAAAAGCTATATTAATAAGTTGGGGGTTAAGATAGTTAAAGTTAAGCTTTTCTTCTTCTTCATAATTTGGACATTCTCGGACTAGGTAGATAACCACCACGAAGGCTACACTTGTCATTCTCGTGGTTAATTCTGCGCACATGAAATTACTAGGGATCATCATGCATCGTGTCATAATAGATACTGAAGAAAAGTGGAAGTGCAGTGGAATATTACGGTTGTTATAGATTCCAAGAAAACCTATAACGTAGTTAAGAGAGAAGCATTTTATAACGTCGTCGTTGAATCAGGCATACCTTTGAAAATATGTTAATTAATATTTGTCCAAATGAAATTTGTCATAAAAGCTGTGTAGGTAAGACTTTTAAATAATATTTCTTATTTGAATTATATGAAGAGGGATGCTATATGTCTATTGATATTCGACTTCGCTTTAGAATATGCCACTGGGAACTTCCAAGAAAACGAAGAGCGATTACAGCCGAATGGAACAAATCAGTTTCTTATCTGTACAAATGACGATTTGTTAGACGAAAGTTTTACCATAACGACAGAAACTGTCGGATGCTAGTAAGAAAGTTGGTCTAAAATAAACGCAGATAAAACTTAATCGCATGTTCTCGCATAAAATGTAGCGGAGTTCGGATATTTGGTAAGGACAGTAACAAATCAAAATTCCATTCAGAAAGAAGGTAAGAACAGTTCTACTTTTTGTAATTAGTTATAAGGATTTATTAAAGTTTGACTCAACACGCGTAGAACAAAATGTTTGGGTATTCTAGGTATCCAGGTTTCTTGTTGAAGGTGAAGTTGGATTATAAAATTTGTACTATTTTCAGATGCATTTTATCCCATCTGTCTTTCTATATACATGACATAATTCAGGAACGGCTGAAAATTTTTTTTTTGTGAAATTTTATATTGGGGACTTTTACTAAAATTTATCAGCGCATTCGAGTTATGGTTAAAATTGGGCAACAGTAATGAGCTCTTGTTCGGAGATGTACAGCATTTCTGCGTGCTGAATCGACTGGGGTTGGGAGCCTCCACGCTACGTTGGTTAAAGGTCACAGGTCTAATTGTGTTTATATTTTGAAACTTGTTTATTTTTACAGGAATGTTGATCCTCCTATATGGTATGACACTGATGTCAAACTGTTTGAAATTCAACGAGTGTGAAGTTGAGGTTTAATTCAGGTATAATGGTCACAATGTCTCGTTGAACTCAACATTGCATTTCATAGTAGATTTTAATATGTTGAAATTTGATTAATTTTCTGCTCTTAACTTTCATTACATTCCACGCCTTTATTTCCTTTTGCAAATAGATTTTTCTTAGATAATTACGTATTATGCGTATGATTTACAGTCGTACTTTTTGCAGTATCTTCGGTCATCATAATATTGCATAACTGAGGCATTCATATTCTGATTCTTATTTTGCAAATTATTGTGGAATAAACGGCGGATACTGCTAAGTTCCAAAAAAATATTTACTTGATTTGTACAAGTCACCGAACTATTTCAAATACAGAGAGACTTGTAGAATCGTCTTTCAGAATTTAACACCTTTTACAAATAGAAATACTATGATACAAATTTTTTCAGTACATTAAAGCAGTTTTACATTCTACTTTGTGTGTTCGCTTAGTTTTCAGCGTAGAAATGAATATATAATTTTTTCCTTTCTCACGTAGCAGTCAAGTGTGTCACGAGCAAAGGGCCATATCATCGTTAGCCAATTTTTTTAATGCGTAAGTGCCTTTTTTTGTTCTACTGCCAAGCGGTGTTAAATGTGGCGGTATTTTTGTAGATACATTATGCCTTTTCAACCTGTATGAAGGAAATAAAGTAACATTTTAAGTTTATTAACTTAGTTTTACCAAAGGTAACTGCAATTTGGACTTCAGGTCTCTCTTAATAAGTACAGTTTTAAGCCAATGTTGAATTCAAAAGGATATTACCGTACGTTATCTAAGTCATTCTTAAATACAAAATATTGCAACTGTGGCTTGGCAACTGTGATGGCATATTTTAAATCCTGCCTTTTATGCACCATCTTAATGCATGAACGGTTTTAAGGGTGCTATATATATAACTAGATGTCCGTAGATTTAGTACTATACTGTTATTGGTATAATGTATGTAGTGTTATATTTATTTATGGTAGTACATGTATAATATTTATTTTAAAATGTAAGCAGTTTCTTCAAACTTTGATGTCTGACGTACGCTGCATAACTAAGACTAAGATCCTATGCTGTAAGCATGAAGTTGATCATTTGTGCATCCAGACCTGTAAAGGTTTTTTTGAATATTATGCTAAGAATAAAAACAATTTATTTTGTTCAACAATAAAATTAAGTAGTACGAAGCAAATACTCGGTGCACATTTACTTCACGGGCAACATTTCATACAGTAGTTCTCTCCTGTTTCTTCTCTTTCTTTCTTTTTGCCTCAATTTCTCTCGTCTAACCTCTTTCCTGCAGTTTCTTTATTCAAGTTCTTCCTCATAGTCCTATTTTTATGTGTCCTTTGTACTGACACTTATCAGTGAAATCAAGATATTTTACTCTGTAGCGTGCCAACTTACTCCAACAGCTAAGACTGGTTCAATGTTTGTAGTCAATTTTATGTGGGTGCTTTTATGTGCTTCTTCTTCTTCTATGGCTCTCTGGTCCATATTTGGTCCATGGCCTCCTCAATTCTCCTCTTCCATTCGTTCCGTCTGTCCGAGGCTTTGATCGAGGTTTCGAAACGTCTTCCTTTTTAAGGTGCAAGGTTGTTAGCCTTGCGACCAACCCCCAACCTGGAGGACCAGGGTACCTGTCTTAGTCTGACCTCTCCCCCTCGACCAATCTGGCTAGGGAGGCCCTACCAGTAGCTCTTGGGGTCACTGAGGTACTCAAGCCCCACCACCACGACAAGGTGCAGGTACCATTAAGTGGGGGCTTTTATGTGGTGTATAGGTCATTAAGAAGGAGATTAAATTATCCCTGTTATTGGTATCCAGCCCTCTTGTATGCCCTGTCAGTTTTGTACGTGTAGTTGTCATTATAAACTTTTCCGTGCTAGTAACTTGAAAGGATCGGATGTGGTTTTGGTCTTTTCCAGTCCAGGCATTCGCGTGGAGTAAAACCATCAGAATCCTTGGTTAGGATACTCTATGTCATATTCAGAATTCAGACAACACATCTGAATAAAAGTGGACTTACTTTATTTTTCTTACATGTTTGTGTGTTCCACCAGCGGTTGAAACATTGATAATTTGTTTAGGTGCTACGAAAATAATTATTTTGTCCCGTTCGGGGCCTGTGTCCGCAAGATGACCCCACCTTCGTTCATGTTTAAACTGGCTCTCTCTCCTGTGAAGCTGTTCTGATGTGTGCGCTACATCTGCGGCTTGAAACAAGCATCACAGCAGCACACAGCCGTCTGTGACTTACGTGTGTTATGCCACATTTATTTTGCAGGCACTAAGCGATCATTTTCTAACAGTACAGACGAGAGAGGCTGCATCATTGACCACTTCTGTATTTGAGCTGTCAGTGAAACAGAAACAATATTTATATATTATTTTGTAATATTTCAAAGTATATGGAATTGAAATGATGGGAATATTGTAATAGATTGTAAATTAAGCTGCGTATACAGGGACTGATTATTAGAAAACGTCATATACAGGCAAATAGATTCATTCTTAATAGTCTGGTATTTATTTAAAGTATATAGTTTACAGAGTGCAATAATTACAAATTAGTTTGTTATTATATATGATTTGAAGTTTTATTATTCTTTGCGTTTTAAGGCATTTAACTTGCCTTTTAATCCAGAGACTCCACGAGTAATAAATTTCTATGCTCGACGATCAAATTTCCGCTATAAGTGATGACACAACTTCCATGCACAATTAAAAAGATCTAAACACGTAGTTACTTGATTATGTGCAAATGGCCATCTTTGTCTTGTTACTCTGAATTTTTCATTAAGCCTTGAAGAATGCACTGACAACTCATTAAAAATTACATGTTATGAATTCCTTGCGTAAAGTACTTAGAATTTAAATCATATCCATCCATCAGTCTGCATGTTTAATTTATGAAACAGTTCAATAGATTTCAGTGAAATTTGATATTGTTTGGAAAGGGGGGGGGGAGAGGTAAAATTTTCTTTATACTTCATTGAAGGCAAATGGGAAAGTGGAGGGAAAGTTTCACACATTAGATGGAGCTTCATCC